CGCGGCCCCCACTGGCCGCGGTTCGCTGTCCCGGGCCAATGGGGGTGGCGGGACGGCGAACCGCAGCCAGTGGGGGCTGCGATCGGCCGAACCTGCCGCGTCAGCAGGTAAATAAACTGGCCCGGCCCACTAGGGTGCTTACCCTGGCGAGTCGCATGCCGAATGTTGCCGACCCCTGATCTAACCCATAGTATTTAAATACAGTATTTAAATTTCAAAGTGTAATAAACAGTGATTTTTAATAAGACGTGGAACACTGGGGATGTTCCAGGAGACTGAAAGAAGGCTAATATTGTGTCAATATTTTAAAAGGGTAAATGGTAATCTAGGTAATTATAGATTTGTCAGCCTGGCATCGATTCTGGGCAAGATAATGGAGCACCTGATATGGGATTCAATTAATAAAGAACTAAAGGAGCATAATGTAATTAATGCAAATCAACATGGCTTTATGGAAAATAGATCCTGTCAAACTGATTTGGTATCTTTTTTGGACGTGATGACAAGTTTGGTTGATAAAGGTGATGGTGCTGATATAATATACTTAGACTTCTGTAAGGCATTTAACTTCGTACCACAAGCCATTTTGATTAAAAAATTAGAAGCATAGTCGCTGACTCTATGGGTGCTCCAGAAAAAAAAATAGTGGGTGCTCCGCACCCCCCGGCAGCCCCACTGATCAGCTCCTCCCCGTCCTCTCCCAGCGCCGCTCGGCTGTTCAGTGGTGTACAGGAGATGCTGGGGGGAAAGGGAAGAGTGAGGGCAGGACATGCTCAGGAGAGGGGGTGAAAAGGGAAGAGTTGGGGTAGGGGCAGGAAGAGGCGGGGTGGAGGTTGGAGCTTGGGGGAAGGGGTGGGTGGGGCCTGTGGTGAAATGGGGGTCGAGCAGCCCTCGGGAAATCACAAAGTTGGTGCCTGTGATGAGAAGGATTTAAAATTAACATAACACACATTAAATATATTAGAAGCTGGTTAACGGTTAGGTTTCAAAATGTAATTTAAATGGGGAATCATCATCAAAAGGGTGTGTTTCAAGTAGGGTCTTGCTGGGATCAGTTCCTGGTTGTATGCTATTTAACATTCCTATCAACGACCATGAAGAACACAAAAACATCAATGATTAAGTCTGCAGATGATACAAAAATTGGTGGTGGGGGTGGGTGGGAGTTGGTGGTAAATAATGAAGAGGACAAGTCACTGATATAGAGCAATGTGGATCACTTGGTAATCTGGGGGCAAGCAAACAATAAATATGCATTTTAAAATGGCTAAATGTAAATGTATAAATAGAAACAAAGAATGTAGTCCTTACTTACAGGATGGGGGATTCTATTCTGCGTAGCAGTGATTCTGACAAGGATTTGGGTGTTGTGGTGGATGATAAATTGAACATAGCTCCCAGTGCAACATTATGGCCAAAAGGGCTAATGCAGTCATTAGATATATAAACAGGCGACTTTCGAGTAGGAGTAGAGCGGTCTGACAGGGCACTATCAGCAGCACCCTGGTCACTGACATTGAAGGCCTAGCTGGAGGCAGTTAACCTTTCTGTTGGGGATTATGAGCACCTGAGGGTAATCACTGGGGATAACAATGTAATTGGGGGGATACAAGTGGAAGGACGGGAAGCTAGGAAGGAACTCAGAAGGAAAACTCAGAAGATGATCCTGGGCTGGCTGAGGAATGAAGGGTGTGGGGAAGCCTCCCTCTGCTATAAACCTGCTTTACACTGTGCTAATTTGAAAAAAAAATACACACCTTGGTGAAAGAATAACCTGGTGTGTTTTTGTGACCGCGAGAACACTCAAACTGGCCAGCCAGTGGTGTACACTGGATAGTGACAGAGATGCTCTGTGACAAGAGGTTATTTTACTTCTGTATTTGACACAGGTGTGGCCACTGCTAGAATACTGTGTCCAGTTTGGTGTCCACTATTCAAGAAGGATATTGATAATTTGGAGAAGGCTCAGAGAAGAGCCATGAGAATGATTGAAAAAATATGCCTTATAGTGATTAGACTCAAGAAGCTCAATCCATTTAATTTAACAAAATAAACATTAAGGGGTGACTTGATAACAGTCTATAAGTGCCTACATGCGGAACAAGTATTTAATAGTGGGCTTTTCAATCCAGCAGAGAAAGGTATAACATGATCCAAAGGTTGGAAGTTGAAGGTAGACAAATTTTGACTGGAAATAAGACCTACATTTTTAACTATGAGACTAATTAACCAGTGGAACAATGTACTAAGTGTCATGGTATAATCCATCACAACAATTTTGCAATCAAGATTGGATGTTTTCTAAATATATGCTCTAGGAATTATTTTGGGAAAGTTCTATGGCCTGTGTAATACAAGAGGTCAGATCAAAGTGGTTTCTCCTGGCTTTGGAATCTATGAATCTATGACTGTCAACTCTGTAAAAGTTAGTTTCCATTCAGATGCAATGATGTCACAACAGAACCTAAAATAGGAAGTAGGAATCCAGATCTATAGGCCTCTTTTCATACAGCCCTCGCTATTTAGGAGCAGGCTGATTTCTTATTTCTTTATTTCAATTTGTAATACAGTTTTTAAAAGTGCCTGTAATGGGCTCTTGGTCCCTTGCCATAATTTAAAAATACATTCAGATACAAAGCAAATAAAGCAGCAACTACTTACCAACCCCAAACCAGAAAATTGGCAAGATACTGAGAAAAATCTTTAAATGCATTGGAAAAATGGGGCAAAATTATCACAGGGGATTGGGAGTATTTATTATTATTACTGTTATTTATTTATTTTATTATTATGTATTATTTGTATTTCCAGAGGACCTGAAAACCTCAGTTGTGGACAGGACCCAATTGTATTTAGTGCTGTACAAACCCTGAAGAAAATACGGTCCTTGCACCAAACAACCCCCCTCATGATCTTTACTTATTTCCACCATGATAGTTCTTGTGCTATTTATTTATTTTTATTACTGTAGCACCTAGCTGCCCTGGTCATGGAACAGGACTCCATTGTGTTAGCCGCTATACAGACAAAGAACAAAAAGATGGTCACTGCACCAAAGGGCTTACAATCTAAGCATAAGAGAAGTGACCACAGGTGCATACAGATGAGGTAGCACAAGAAAACAATGAGACAGCGTGATAGGATGTGATCTCAGCACAGCTAACCATTGTCAACATTTTTGTGCTAAATGTCTAGATCTTTCAATCTTTATTTGAGTAGGGGCTTTAGGATTTGTTCCTAAATATATAAAAAATGGAAACAACCTAATGTGCTTGGAAAGATAAGCAGGGGAAAAAAGGAAATATTACAGATTTTGGCAATCCTAGAGAGTCATTGCAAAGTACTATTCTGGAGCACTCGGGAAAAGAGCTTGTCTGAATACTGTACAGTGCTGTGCCTCCCTATAAGGCACCAACATGTTTACTGGAAAGCTCTGAACCCTTTTATTACAACAGGAAGATCAAAATATTTACTGTGGATATAGAAGCTTAAAGACAAAACAAAGTAATTGCCTTTTCTTTTTTCCAGTTCTTCCACATTTGCCAGGTATCTGCCCACAAAGAAAATGCAGCTCACAGACCAAGAAGTATTCTTCTATTCCCACGGAGAATTTCAAAGGGAAACTTTCTTTTAAAATGTAAATCTACCACCAGGTTAATATAAAAAAGGAAAATACCAAAAAATAAAATATAAAAGAGTATATCCTCGTATTAGTCAAGGTTGAAAGGGGATCAGTACATATGCAAATATGCAATATGCAAATTCTGTAGCTGGTTCTGCTCCTCTGGTGAATGGAAAGATATGCCTGGTATTTCTGAAAACAGTATGAATCAGTGAGATGTCTCAAGTTATGCAAAAATAAATTGTGAAGAGTCTAGAGGTACACAAATAAACTATGCAGTCTATTACGTATGACAATAATCAGGAACTGATACAAGGAAGAAATGCTTATTTAGACCTTAAAAAATGATGGTGAATACTACAGGTGCATAAGTTTCGATTTCCAAAAATGACTGAGATTTAGATATAAACTTCTTTCCTTTAATTTTAATAACTGTTGTGTGCCTAACTTCTGTAGGCAGCTTTGAAAATCTCAGCCTCGCATATTTTGCGGGTCATCTATTCAGACAACCCTAAGGAAGACTTCAGTGGAGATTTTAAAATATGCTATTCAAAGGACCCCAAGCTGAAACTGCTTTTGTATTATTGCCCCTTTCATAAAAGTATTAACAAGCAGTGACATGCCTTCTCAGTAATGGAGCACTGTGGATGTTATTATTAATGTGATTAAATGTTACACAATTTGGCAGCTATAATGGTGGAGACCGTCATGCATAAGGCAATACTAAAAAGGCTGTCATCAGAACTATGGCCGAGCCAGTGAACGTGTCTGAAAAGAAGGCAGATGGTCAAAGGAATGTTGTCACAGAGGTGGGGAGAACCTGAAAATTAGAAACCTATATAAATGACTAACATCAGCCCTGCTCAAATGTGGTGGTATTCAAAGGATGTAAATAGATGTGTGGATCAAGGATGCAATTTGGACCTTACTTTGTAAGACATAAAGGAGGAGTTACTTGAAAAGCCAAACCGTGCACAGGAGGGCTAAAGGTACTCAGAAAACAACTTGGGTCACATCTTCAGATTATGTAAATTGGCATAGCTCCATTGAATTCAAATACAGCTGTACCAATTTGCATCAGGTAAATCATGAGTTTTGCATGTAGATATTGAGAGTTTGCATTCCATTACTGGAAAGCAAGTGCAGAGGAATAGGACGAGTCAGATGGGTTAAATCTAATCTAATCTGTCTGCATTTAAGGTATTTAATAAGCACATAAAAACTTACAGACCCTGCAGAGACCAGGAAAAACTGTTCATCGGTGCAGGGAGAGAGAGGACAAAAAAGAAGGGATGCTGATACATAATCTTCGGAAGATTTATTTGGGTCTTGGCAGTACAGGGTATGTGGTTGCAGGAGATAGGCCACACGGTGAGTGACCCCTGGTGTTGAAGAGCCAAGAAACAGTTTTCCACAACTCCCCTAGTCTACTTAGTCACACACCCTACTTCCACAGAGCTCCAAATATACTGTGTCTATGTGTAGGGGAATCCATCTGGGTAGCAGGAGAAAGGGTTGATGGAACATTGCCTCACTTTCACATTCTCTGATAGACTCTGGGCCACATTAACAGGTTTTTTTCCCCACTGCTTTCATTGTCAAAAAGCAGAGGAGATGATCTGAGCCAAAGCTATTAATTTTACTGAAGACGGAAATAGAGTGAGCTTAAAAGTTTTCTCATGAGGCTTGTCCAGAAAATAATTGGAGAGTAGATAAAAGGACTAATAACAGGTTTGGTGAAGTCTGAATGAGCATCTGAACCTTTGGATGCTTAGGCAAACGAAACCTCAGAACTTTTTGAAGTTTGTCCAGGGCTGCTGAGATGTATAAGGTGGTTTTCAGCACATTCCCTCAGCAGAAATGTTAGGGGCTCCTTGAAATGACAAAGAAGGAACAAAGAAGGCAATAAGGAGCAAATCTGAAGTGTAGTACTGGATAAATCATGTGGGCTATAGCTGAAAAGATAGCAAATGGTCTGTTCAATTGAAGGCTATAAAGTAAAAGAACTTATGCTTATTGCTGTTAAAAGAGTAATTCAGGTGAAAAATATACTTATTTTTCTCAACTATAGAAGGTGCTAATGTTTCAGCTGAATTGCTAGTGACAGTGATGCATACTCTAAATACTCCTCTGCTTATTTATTAAAACAGTGCATTGCAGTGGGAATATGCTAGCAAGTTTCCATGGTTTAAATTGACTGGGATTTGGAAAGCCATAGTCTCTCAGGGATAAAAACAAGACAAAACAACTTTTCATTAGTGTCACTGTACCAATTCCCAGCACAACTATTTGTCCTTTGAAAATGACCCCCTAGAAGGAATTATACTGGCAAGAACCAATTAATGATATAGAGATTAAAAAAACCACACCTTAAATAATCAATTGATTTCAAAATGAAAATGTTTTGCTATTCCCCATTCTGCACCAGAGAGCAAAACACTGTTTTGTTTCCTTACACAAAACTCTTTCATTAGCTTTTGTTCTGTTTCACAGAAAAAAACCCAACTTCTTGGAGGTTTTTTGTCCAGACGAACACCAGGGATATGATGCTTTAACAGCATAGTTTTCATCTAGTTCTCAATCTGACTTCCATTATTGCAGGTATAAAACTGTGTCTGGAAATAATTGTGGCTGCATCTTTGAATCCCAGTTCATTATGGGTAAATTCATATTAGCATTTAGAGATCTGATATGCAAGCACAATCAGTTGGGTAGGGAAATCTAAACATTTATGCCCATAAATGGAGGCCATTTATGAAAAATATGGGTATTAATCTTATTTGAGGGGGTTCCTCTCTTTTAAACTGAAGATTGATTTTGTCTGACTTATCAAAGGACCACTCTTCTGTATCAGTACCACTTTGTGATAATATCCTCCAAGCAAAGATAAGAACTCTATGCCCTAGTTTGGAACATTGATTTCAACATGACATAATATGGAAATCCCTCAACTCTATCTAAATATATGATCCTCAACACCATAGTATATGAGCACCTAAAACAGTATAGTACCTAAAATCTTTTTGCAAAGTGGTATCAGATACAGCAAAGAGTGCAGGAGCTTCCACTTACACCAGTTTAGTCAGAGGAACCTGTCTAGAAAAACACTAAAACTATTTTTAATATAAATAAGACTCACATAATAACAGATGTTGGGGGCTGGGGGGAGAGAAACAGCTCTAACATGACATGTGCCTGATGCCATGACCCTGAACATTGTGTTGGTATATTGTATGAGTTTCCTCTACCCTTTGTTTATTTTTATTATCTTCCTAGATTGCAGAGTCTTTGAGGCAGTGACTGGTTTCTTGTGTGTTTGTATAGTGGCTAGTGAACCTAATGGGCACAATATAAATAATAATTATCCCCCCAAATCAGTCAGTATGGGCTACCATGGTAATGGCAGGATACATTCTTTTTCCTCTCCTCACAGGCTGAAAGTAGCACATCTGCAAAACTCTTATTTCCTGCTGGCCTGGGGCACAAAGGACTGAAATGAAGGTGTAAAAATATTCAGATGGGACAGAGCACAAATTACTCTTCTCCTTCTCCCACAAGTCTGTAGTAGCTACCCCATCTTCACTTCCACCCAAGTCTCTGGTGGCTATAAAATAAAATAAGTTATCACCCTCTCCTTCATTCCTGATGTGTCTGGTTCTTTTTCACTTCCAGTGTCTTTGTCTACATAGCACGTATGCTTGTAAATGGCAAAAGGGGCTGCCTTTGCCTGTTACTTTCATTTGCTTTGCAGATAGTTGCTTCTGCACATCTTCTGGTGTTCTTACATAGGGGAATTCTATGGGTTATCATAAGAATTGGTGGGATTAGTAGCTGCAAAAAGGGCTGTCAGCTACTTTCCACAGTTCTTTGATAGCAGCCGAAGCTGCCAAAAGTGAGGGTGGAGATTTTTCAGCTTTACCATCCCCAGCTGATCTTGTCTATCCCCTGAAGCTATCACTGTGGCTACTCCCTACCCACCCTTCCCCATGGACTGTGATTTGATGCAGTGAGAAGGCTTGCTGGCTCCTGTCACCTTGAGAGCTATGCTGGTGGGCGTATAACTGGTGGACAAACCATTCAGTGCGATTTGATGCAGTGAGAAGGCTTGCTGGCTCCTGTCACCTTGAGAGCTATGCTGGTGGGCGTATAACTGGTAGGGCAACCCATCCTAGACAGTCAAAGGGTAGGAGCTAGATTAATGGCAGTCCACCAGATAATGGGTTGTGAATGAGCTAATAAGCTGCTGCTGTAAAAAACAAAGCTGTTATGGAAACCTACTCTACTGTTCGGCTCAGCAAACTCAATTTAGTTTGACATAGAAGAGAAATGATTATGCGAGATGGCCAAACCCAGAAGGAAGCTACTCCTCTAATGAATTTTCTCCCTCCTAAATTCATAACTAAAATTGGTACATGGAACATGCCGACACCATATGAGCCTGGTAAGATAGCTCAAGTAACAAAAGAAATGCACAGATATAAACTAGGTATATTAGGCCTAAGTGAAATGAGATAGGTAACATCAGGACAAGTAACTTTGTCGACTGGACACTTACTATATTCTGGGCTATGGAATGCCAGTAATGTACACAGAGATGGCATGGATCTGATACTATCAAGGAAGGCAGCTAAAAGTCTGATAGAATGGACAGCAGTTTGGGAAGAATCATAACAACACATCAAAGCTCCAGAAAGTGTCCATTATTCAGGGTTATTCTGTAACAATTCAAGCTTGCCAAGATGAAAACGAAAATTTTTATAAACAGCTATAGATCACAGTAGACAAGATCCCAGAAAAGGTTGCCCTTCTAATAATTGGAGACATGAATGCTAAAGTGAGGAGCAACAATAATAGCAGAGAAATAAATATAGGGAAACAAGACATGAAATGGTGAAATGTTTGCCAATTTTTGTGGAATGAATGAACTGATCATTAGAGGAGCTATTTTCCCTCACCATTCTATCCACAAGGTGACCAGACCATACAATAACGAACCAGATTGTAATTTGGCTCTA